TTTTTTTGTGTTTTGATAATCCTCGCTCTTTGATTGTTTTTGTTCTAATATTGATGCTGTTTTTTGAACTCGCTGAGGTCACAGGTTCAGATGCGGATCCCAAGATGCTCCATTATTTCTTCTCTTTCTTTGTGTTTTCTTTGTTCATATCGCAGCTTTAGGAATGTGTGAATCCGACATATATCTGACAGTTTTGAAGAAACGCGACTCTGCATGCAGCTTCTTACTACTATATTTCTATTATTTAGTGATTCTTCAGGCCGCAAAGAATTAACAATCGCAGTGCGTCCATTAGCCATAGTGTGGACACATTTCTGCTTGATTTTTAGACTAACAGTGTAACAGCGCAAACAGAAAATATGTAATATTTGCATTGTTGAGGGTAGAAGCATGGCCGTGCATAGTAGACAGTTGTAGATCTTTGACCGCCAGCCACTTTGGATGACTGCTTATTAAGACTCACAGAACATTGTGTGCTATGACTATCGGAAATATGATTCTGAAAGACTGGACTCTCTACTTTCAGCAGCAAAAAGAAGTTTGTTTCCAGCTAGATGATGTAATTGCCAGTCGAAAAGAGGGGAGCGTGACAGAAATCACGAGTCTTAGACAAAAAGTTGAGAAAATGAGGTGTTTGTGAAAAGCAGAAAACACTATTGTAACACTATTTAGTTTAACTTGAGTGTCTCCTCAAACATGTTAGAAAACAGCAACAACAATTTATGAGAAAATGTTTTTGATGCAAAATAATATGTTTTATGGCACACACACCCACATCCACAAAGTGTTCAAATATTTCAAAAAGTACTCATCCAAAAAACGTCAACATTTACATATTGAAAGTAGAACCCATGAAAAACTATGCCAGAAAGAATGACCAGTATTCATTAATTAGGTGGTGCTTTACTTATGGTCAGGAAAACACTGTCTACCACCAAACCCTAAAAAAACGATTTATTTTCAATCAACTGATTAATCAGTCAATGGCAATGAAAGATGATATAGAAAATGTGTCTGTTTGTTCATGATGATTTTAATGTATGTACCTATACTTTCTAGACTTAAGGATGCACCTGTATATAAACCACCACCACCTACTCAGCCACCGTGGGCGGCACGGTGGCTGAGTGGATAGCACTCTCGCCTCTCAGCAAGAAGGTCCTGGGTTCGAATCCCGGTCGGACCAGGGCCTTTCTGAGTGGAGTTTGCCTGTTCTCCCCGTGTCTGCGTAGGTTTCCTCCGGGTACTCCGGTTTCCCCTACCACTAAAAATATGTTCAATAGATCTGGCATGTGCCTCCTGTACTGGCGACCCCGCTCCCATCTCTGTGTGGAGTGAGAGACAAATGCCCATAATTAACATTTGTAAACCGCTTTGAGACTCAGATCTGCAGTGAAAAGGCGGTATATAAATAAAAACTTACTTACTTACATTGAAAGAGAAAATCCGTCCACATATAAGCCGCACTTGAGTATAAGCCGCAGATGTTGTAATGTAGCAGATGGACCGCTGTTTTAACTGGTCACAACGTGAGTTTAATGACGGGGTGTTTAAGGCAAGGCAAGTTTATTTGTACAGCACAGTTCATACACAAGGCAACTCGTAGTGCTTAACAAAACAAGTTAGAAACAATACAGGGCATTAAAATAAATACATAACGTTAAAAAGGTGCTCATTCACCCTCATTGTCCTGTGTCCTGTAGCGTCGGACAATTGATGGAGTCATAATAATCCATGGAGTCAAAACAATCCAAGTCCATAAACTCTGCTCTGACAACTCCACCACAATAGCAACACACATATAAGCCGCATCGCTATAGAATCCGTGGGGTTAAAAAAAACTGGAGAAAGAAGTAGCGGGTTATAGTCTCAAAATTAACGTATTTTTTACATTTTTTTTACCTCTATATAACCAGGATAGTCCCACTTAGAATCGCTTATTAGGCGAGTATAATTTGACATTTGCATCCACAGTCAGCACTTTTGCCTTTTCGCACACAGCTCATCATGAATAACGTCACACACACAGCTCCAAACAAAAGCTGGTGGTGTGGACTCCCTCTCTCCCGCTCTTTCCCCCGTGTGGACCGTGCCGCCCTGTGTCAGAGTGATTTTGCAGCTGCAGAGGGAGGGTGTTCCTGCCTCTCCTGCCAGCGCCCTGGGTGGGGTTCACATGTCCATCTGCTCACGCCCCGAGGAGCAAAAAACTCATCGCTTCAAATATATCCCAGCGCACATGCTCAAAATAATTACCCCAGCAGGGATTCTGTCTTCCATCTCACTGAATGCCAGGGGTGTGCAAGGACACGGCAACAGCAGAGATACAGCACTTTATACATCGCTTTAAAGCAATAGTACAATCGACATCTTGATTTGAGTCATTTCCACCGGATTAAATGTGTTTGGCCGCATGCATTTACACTAGGTCAGTCTCTACACTGCAAAAAGTCATAAAGAATAAGTCCAAAATGACTTAAATTTGGCCAAATGTTTCTTAATTTGAGCACATTCTGACTGCTTTTAAAACAAGATTTAAGTAAGTAAGTAATCTTTATTTGCCAATGGGAAAGCAAAGTAAAAAATATACAAGAAAATATATCTCTTCAAATGAGAAAAAATGCAACAGTTTTCAAAATAAGACTTAAACGGCTATTATTATGATTTTTTTGTTGTGTACAAGGTTTTTTTTCTCCGCTTTCAATCATTTTTTGACTCGTTTGAAACCTAGAGGTGGATTATTGTGACAGTTCTGGCCATATGCAAGTAGTAGTACCTTAAGGGAGACCATCTTGCACCTTTCAGATACATTAGTACAGGGGTGCCCAAACCTTTTGCTTCCAAGGGCCAAAGTAAAAATTTGCCAGTGGGCCGCGGGCCAAATACACCAATATTATGCATGAAACACAAATAAATGTAGATTTGATCAAGTTCTTTTAAATGCATTAATTATTGTCTATCAGTGCAAATCACAGCTGAATGAATTAAATCAACACAGTCTTAGTGAAGTGGAGGCTCCTGGGAAATATGCAGGTTTGAGGAGACTACAGTACGGAAAGATTCCGGCCGGGTAATCAGGGTCCAGAGGAGGGAGATTTTCTGTCATGGCTTATTTAAAGGTTAAAATCATATAATAAAACCTCAAAAAGAGAACAGAAACATACATTTTGTGTGCACCATGTGCACTTGTATATTGTAAATAGTAACTGTAACTCTATTTTAAATTTAAATTTATTCCTTAGAAGTGTTTTTTATTCTTTTTTTTATTATCTCTGTTGCACTGAGCCAAAGCAATTTCCAAGTCTATTTTCATATATTTATTTTGAACAAAAGTTTTTAACTACATTTGAATCATATTACTTTATCTTAGCTTTTATCAAAAAGGGGAGACATCACTGATCAATAGATCTGGTTTTAGCACACTTTTAAACAATACATTTTAACATTAAGTAATGAATTTGGGAACATAATTGCTAACTGCATTTTCTAAACATGATCAGGTTTTAACTCTGTTTTAACATAGGACAAGTATTCTCAATTAGTAGTGAACTGAATATTAAACTAACAAAATCAGACTAGTTAACCATGATTTTTTCCTGGAGTTTTGTTTTGTTTTGCCTAAACACAGTACAACATTTATAAATAATCAAAACAAAGTAACTGTTAAAGAGTCCGAGTTTCCGCTCCTCCAAAGGGCTCTTGAACGCATCATAAAACTCTGCGTAAGTTCTGACATTCAATGATCGCGAGTGAGGACGGCGCTTACCGGCTTCTTTCATGGGGTTGTAGAAGGGCTTGTTTTGCACAGTATTTGTTGCTTCTACTTGCGTGGATCGTGCGCTGCGATCCCTGCTTGTCCTGCTTGAACTCACTCTGAAGTGTTTGTGTCCGTCCTTTTTAACACACCGGGTGGGTGCGGATTGCGCAGGTGAATAGTTCCACTCGCCATTTCCCTCCGGTGAGGAGGGGGAGTGGCAGTTCGCCAGCACAATCCTCTCAATTTGATAAAACATTAAATAGCTCCAAAAAATAATAATAGTAGGCTGAAAAAAAACATAAATGGGCCTTGCACCCAATTGTTTTGAAAGATGTGTTTGATTTTAAAAAACATTTTAGTGCAAGTTGATGTGAACCATGATTGAGGAGTGTATCTCGATACAACACTTAAGGACTGGACAGTCGTAATTCAGAGGGCGACTATGCGCCCGCGCAACCTCGGACATGTCACTGTTAATTCAGCGAGGCTGAGGGACGCAGATAGAAACATATAGCGGAGGTGGGCAATGTTTGGCGGGCCAACTGAAATGGTCTGGCGGGCCAACTTTGGCCCGCGGGCCCCACTTTGGGCACCCCTGCATTAGTATATACTGTATTATTGACCTTTTAATTGAGTGCTTTAGTTACTGATTTAAAACTGAGACACAGCTGAGAGGGCAATGATGTCTCTCAGCTGGACTGGGAACGCCTCAGGATTCCCCCGGAGGAGCTGGAGGAAGTGTGTAGATAAGGAAGTCTGGGCGTCTCTGCTCAGACTGCTTCTGCCGTGACCTGGCAACGGCTACAGCGGGATTATTGTTTATTTATTTAGTTATTTTAATCCAAGACAGTACATTTTAATCAATGTGTCGGCCAACAGCGTCAACATGAATATGCCGGAATTAGTACAATTGCATCCATTGATAACAGTTTCTCCTTCCATACAGTATGCATGTTCATGACTTGAAAAAGGAGTTGGATGAAGCAGACGTTGTTCCAATCCCCTCTCACACCTTCAACACAATGAACATTAGAAAAACTGCTACATTTCAGCACGACACATTACAGTATAGTTCTGCACAGTGCATACAGTGATAGTAATGGTAACTGTGAGAATCAGAAGTAGAATCAGACTTTTCCAAAAAACCTAAATAATGGAGTTCAAACCTGCATGCTTTATTGCTGAAACAATAAAAAGTCAAGTTGGATATCTTGTTTCATCTATTTTTCTCTTTCTCTCTTCTTAGGGGACTGTTCGCGAGTCATTACACAGAGACACATTACCGGGAGGATGGAAGCGCAGTCACGGCTGCTCACAACTTTACGGTACGGTGCCAGTTCCAGTGCTTTTGACATTTATGGGCAGCTTGACCTACAGTGGCGCCCGGGCAGTCAGCCTGTAAAAACCTAGCTCTCAAAATGGCCCACAGAGATACAACTTTTATTTATTTTTATTTTACTTTTACCCCTTTAACATTCACTCCTTGAAGAAAGCAATGTATTTTTTATTTTTATTTTTTAGGATTTTTTTAACACTAATAAAAAATCTTTTTTTTCTTGAACCCTTAGTTTTTTATTAATTCTAGGCCTTTACCAAATGGTTGAGATGCAGTTTGATTGTAAAAATGCCGAAAACCAAGTGAGATGCCCCAAAGAGGTATATTTCAGTCCAAGCTTCAAGGAAAAAATATTGACTCAACAATTGATCTAGCTGCTGCTGTCAGACTGTACAACAAACATTGCAGACTAAAGAATGCTGCCGACCTGACCACATAGCTCTTGCATCGGTGCAATATCTTGAAATAATGACAGAATGTGCAATATAGAACCACATGTGTCGCTGTGTCACTTCGTCACATACCTTCAGGCTGCTAACATTTACAGATGTATACACCCCGCTCCCATCTCTGTGTGGAGTGAGAGACAAATGCCCACAATTGTAAAGCGCTTCGTGACTCTGCTCTGTGAAAGGCGCTATATTAATAAAGATTACTTACTTACATACTACTATATATTACTTTCACTACAATACACAGTACTTTTTACTTGCTTTGTGTACTCATTGTGATAAAGATAGAGATTTTATACATATATATTATTACTTTTTATTTTAAACTAACACATTTAAATGTTAACGGACATACATTGGTTATACATTCTGATATACATTCTTAACACACGTGCACAGAGGTTTTCAGGCGTTTGTGTTTACATTTTCATGACAAAAAGTTTCAATGTGACAAAAATGATCCAGATAAACCCGGAAGTAACCATTAACATTATTATAACATTTTAGGGCACATTTGCAGAGGATCTGATCATGGATTTAGGTTAAGTTTATATTTGGGTCACTCACCGCTGATGCTGAGAATTCTTTGTTCAGTTTTCATGTAGTTCCAGAGAGTTCTAGTTAGTTAGCTAGCCTAGCTGTTAGCTGTTACCCGTCTAGCCACGTCACAGTGAAACCTTTGGGAACTATTTTATATGTATCATTTTAAATACAAAATGCCCATTACAGCTTTGAATATTAAGGGCTGTCTAATATTCGTTCAAATATCCATAATATATATATTCATTATTTGATTTATATACGAGCATGAGCATGATGATTGACAGCCCTTGGCATCACTTGATTGGTTAAAGTGGACGGCATTGTGGATTTTGAGCTATGGCTAAGAGAAGGGAAGGCGGAACTGACACCCGTAATATTATAACTCATAAAATTACTTATTTTATATCAACATTTAAGGCCGGAGGTCAATTTAATACAATTCTTTACATTTGTAATTCATTTAGAGTTCCATCACTTTAAAGGGTCAAATCAAGAATATGTTTATTGTTTTCATTATGTCAGATGTCAGGAACAAACTCACAAAACCTCAGTCAGACAAATACAAAAATAAAAGTGACAGATGCGTTTATGAGAGATCATGGCTATGCTCACATTTACAGAGCAGCCCTCCTCCTGTGGACTCTCCACCTGCAGGGGATCAGTGAGGGGCAGGTGCTCTGTGACTTGGGTGGCATCTCTGACTGCCACCCCCCCGACCCAGAAATGGATTAAGGGGTAGAAAATGGATGGATGGATGGAGATGCGTTTATGAGTTTCTAACTGTACAGGATCACATTATGGGAGGTAGAAATAGAAAAGAACCTTGTCACTGCAGCAAGGACAGATTTTTCAGACCAGGAGTTTTATATTTCTTTTTTTTTCACCAATAGCCACGGCTGCATACTGTCTGAGAGAATGTCCCCATACATTATCAAAGGCACTCGTGGCTAACCCTTTTGGACAGGACATGACATCTTGGAGCCGTTGTGAATGATAAGCGGAGGGGAGAAGCAGGTTTTTTTTCTTCTTCAAACATTGTGGATATTTGAGCGGTAATGTTATTTCTGACTGGCTGGAATCTCCCTGTTCCCAAAGCTCTTGTGACTGGCACCGAGAGCAGCTGACCTACTTGTTGATAAGCAGCAGAATAATCAGGATTTTGATATTAGAGAATCTCCTCATTTTAGCTCAAACGCACGTGAGCTGTTTGCAACACGTGACCCTCAAATGTCTCGTAAATGTTATTTCTGAAAACGGGATACTTTTTTTTTATTGTTTGCTCCTAATTGTCACACAAAATTCCAGCTCAGTAACATTATCTGAAAATACAATATTATAGATGTTTTTTTTTATGCGTTGAATATTGCTTTATTAGTACTGTTAGGGAAAATAAGCAATAATATTTTCATGGTATGCAATGAACCAATGAATCAAATATGTAACTATGAAAAAGTACAGGGCAATTACTGCATTTGGCCTGATGACCAGCCACACGATTCGGCCTGTCACGATAACACATTTTCCATGACGATTAATTGTCCCAGAAATATTGGCGATAAACGATAATATTGCAATACATTTTGAAATGGCCATTTTGAGGCTTTTTCCACTTAATAAAGGCCAAATGGCAAAAATAATTGCAAACAGACCATTTCAAAGACCAATACACTTTTATTTCTTAAAACATTTAACACTGTAAGACATTTAAACAAACTCAGTCTCAGTTACCCAAAAATACTACTAGACACAATGAATACATAGCAAGAATGAACTCAAGAAACAACTTAAGAAAGTGATGAAAACTTGTGTGTAGGTAATCTTTCCTTTTGGGCAAAAGTTACACACGTTTGCACAAATGGAACTTATCGAGGCCGTCAGACTTACCGACCTCATTATTGTTACTACGCAATAACTCAATATATCGTTTATCGTAACAGCTCTACACACGATTATCCTGTACATTAAGTCAATGTCTTGATTCTGTCCCGAGCTTTTCTTTTTGTGTGCCTGTGTTTGGATGCATTTGATTGGACAGAAAACAGGAAGTGGCTTCGGAAAAGGGAAACATGTTGTGATATAATTGTTACAGCTGTTTCTCACAATGTAGTGTTATTTTACTCCTATATACTCTGTATTGATAACTATACAGCAAAATAACCTCCTTCTTTCCTTGTGCTTCAAATGTGACCTTTTATGCGACTGGGCAGCTCCAGGTTTAGTCTATTGTGACATTTAACACAGTTTTAAGATGTGTTTTACTGTCTCTTTCTATGCTACAAAGGTCAATAGAAATGAGAGGGAAGGATAAGGGAGGAGTAACTGTTATCAAATCGTCTGTAGGGAAAGCTCTGAGTTCTGCGGTCTGTGATTGGTCGCTAGATTTTCTGGCCGTAGATAAAGAGAACAAATGCACTCCCTGTCCGTGTTCACAGATGTGAGAAGTATTTTGAAAGGATCACGCAGATTAAGCTAGCATGTATTCACCCCAGAAATACACTGTAATTATTAACATATCATCTACTTTAGCATAAGTTTACCCTTAGCTAACTAATGTAACATGTTCATCATAGGATGTGAATATGTGTCTGAAATAAATAGATACATAAATGGATAGAGGCATGAACGCAGCTTTAATTGAATAAATACTGAGTTTTTTTTTTTTATGTCTTGACAGAAAGATTCTTGTAAAACCAACTCCGACCCATAGACTGTAAATATTAACGGACGTAGTCACGTCTATCTCCGCCGTTCAAACAAATGGGCCAAAAAATGTGCTCTATGGAGCGATCCAAAATGGCCACGAGTGGTCCCGCCCAGAAGAAAAAACGCATCTGCGCATGCGTCAGCCGGCGCGAGCCCCATCCATTTAACGAGTGCCTTCAAAAATTCACAACAACTAAACTAGACTGGTCCAAAGAAATTCACCCCCCTCAGCATTGACACACATGTGGAACGGAGCTTTGGGCCAAGAGCCAACTTTTGGACCATCCTGTAAAGACGTTTTCGAGAGGTAAGGAGATGCTACTGTATATGTTAGCATTGGCTAATTCTTCTTCTGGGTCCACCCCCATCGGCCCGGGGTGGTATTGCAAGCATGTCAGCACACATCATTTTCCATTATACACACACACCACTTTCACATACTCAGTGCTTTGAAATGGATCCATCGCCTGAGAAAAAGCAAATTGATTATTATGTTTTTAAAGCTGGGGTACTTCACTTTTTTTACCCATATGGACTTCATAAACATGTTTTAAAGATGTGACATAGGCCAAACATATGTGCATGTGAAAAATAGTGATAGAACCACATTGTTTTTAGAGCGAGGAATTAGTTACATGGATTTAATTACAAATAATAACAATGATAATAATAATAATGCATTTTATTTCTGACGCACCTTACATATGCAAACACGTCTCAAGGTGCCACAGCAAGTCAGCACCTTGAGCAAATAGTTATATTTTTGTAAATCCCTTGACAACATTTAAGCTACACATGTTTTGAGCCACGTCACAGCACGAGATCTCACACAAACCTAATTCTGTCATTCTATTACACCAAAACACGGCTCAGAGTAAAGGATCCATCTTATTCGATTCCCACAGTTGCTTTCAATCCGTGGAAGCATCTCGTCCTGTCGCTCGTTTTATAATCCCCTTCTTAAACACCTGCGAGATCTCCAGGGTTCTGCTTTAATCAACCTCGTATTAATGTTGTCTGCTGAGTTTTTTTCAGATCTCTATTCCCCTCACAACTTTTAATATATGTAAGACAATCCCCTTGAGCGCAATTAACCCTGGTGCCTTTCATCTCTGCTGTTCTGTTTGGACCTCAAGGCGGCCCCAGAACTTCTAAATATTTTATTGTACAACCATTAAGGCACAGAACATATCATGATTAATGTCAGTTTTCCATTTGGGTGATTTAGGTCAGGTTAAATCCAGCACCCCGTGTTCCTGCCCTTTTTTTTCCATTTATCAGGTGTAAATGCTTGTTATTTCACTGCTGAGAGATTTGCAGTGGTCCTCAGCATCAAGTGAAGCTATTTTTAAAAAGCTCTTTGGATGTCCACGGGAAGATTTTGTCACACAGAGCCTGGATTAGATTTATAAACTTTTAAATTGTTAAATGTTAAGTCTTTTGAAGATTAAAAATGCAAGACACCAAAAAAGAGGACCTTTTTTGGCATCTAATGATAAAGGAGCAATACTGTACAAGTCTATAGTCACCATGCAGTGTTTTGTCTCCTCACTTTTGATCCAAATTCATTAGTTTTTATGACTGTAGTTTGTTTAATGGAGTATTTAGTTTGAACACTTTTTGTTGCATATTATATTGAAACTCAAACAATGACTCAGCGGCTCTGAAACTCATTCATTGCAACATTTTTAGTGCAACTATGACATCTTGTAGCTGGTCATTTTTTTTGTTTCGGGAATTGGCCAAACAACAACAACATTGAATTGTGATAACATAGAATAGATAGGGAATAATGTTCTATCACAGACATTTACCCTAAAGCAGGGATCTCAAATGAGGGGTATTTGTATTATGTGTTTATTATGTGTTTGTCTGTTTAGCTCCTGGATTGTCTTTTTAGATTTTTGACTTTGGGAATACTAATTACAAATAAGCTTTTGTGAGATGCTACTATTTCTTTACTGAGTGGGGATGTGAGTCCAGAACAAGTCAAATGCTGAATTGAACTTTTCTTTTTTTTTCTTTTTTTTTTACCTGTACAATACATATTTTTACATATCTCAATATAACAGACAAATACCTTGTACCTGGTTCGAAAATGCGTTGGATGAAGCAAATACTTAATTGATTCCAACCCCGATCACACATACTGTTTTAACAATATCATGCAGTAGAATTCTCAAATATACAATGATACATTACATACAGTAGACAGACAACACTAAACACACACACACACACACACACACACACACACACACACACAGGCTGAAACACTCTGTAATGTTCTGTATTTATCTGAACTGATTGAGTGATGTTTGTTTTGTAGAATAACTGCTACTACCACGGGGAGGTCCAGGGCCAGCCAGACTCCGACGTCACCCTCAGCGCCTGCTCCGGTCGTCTGCGGTGAGAGCGTTGCTATTCAAGAGGCCTCTCCACGCTGGCCTTTAAGTGCTGTGGCCGCCCCACTGTGGATGTTTACTCAAGTCATTCAGAGCAGCAGCCTGTCTGTCTTTAAGAGCCTGAGAAGTGGCGTCTGATAGTTAGTATGTGCCACAGGATGCCCACAGGAAAGCTGCTGAATGTCACGCCTCACTGGGCATGTGCACACAGGGCGCCACGGAATAGCTTTGCTCCTCTTGTGCCAGTAATTGTGTCGGAGATGGTGCTAATGACGGAAACATAAGAGACATCGGGACACGTGCTTCATTAACCAGTTCAACACATGTGGGACTGTCGACTGATTGATACTTATACTATAACAGATTATTTGTCACTGGTTGTAAGTAGATGTTATGTGATGTCATAAAAACTATGAAAAATGGAATGCTATTGGATTGGCAAGACACAAGACAACTCAAGTGATTAACAAAACAAGAAAAGAAACATCAAAATCATGAATAAATAATCACAGTATATTGAAAAGAGTGTAGATCCTTCAGTTGTATGCACTGTTTTAACCTGGATTTGAGCTTTGTCAGAGAAGAATCCTGTCTCACATTTTCAGGAAGACTGTTCCATACTTTAGCTGCATAAATCTGAAACGCTGCCTCCCCAAGTTCATTGCTTGAGGTTGATTTAAATAAATAAATAGTGCTGCAACGATTAATTGATGAATCCCAATGAAAAAATATTGTCGGAGGGAAGATCAGGAAAAATCTGTAATCGGAAGAGCTGGATATCTAAAATCTGGTATCATTTCAAAAACTCCAACTCCCCAGTTTGACTCAGAAGGCGCTAAATGACATCCTTTTTTCGTTTATTTTTTCCACATGCAGTTTTATCGTCATGAATGACATATTTTCACCATTCCCAAATAGTTTAAACTTAGTTCCTGCTGTTTGACTCACATGTACATACAGTATGTGCTTGAAGATAATACAGGAAATATAATCTTTTAGGATGATTTCCGGTGGCTTCAGCAGCTTTATATGGGTCAAATTGAGATTATATCAATAATTGAGATTATGTCGGATAGAGATTATGTCAATATTTGCATTTTAGAAAACAAATCGATGAATACATCGATTTACATGAATTTATATTGTGATTTGGTTCTATATGATGACAGGAGTACATTCATGTTGGAACAAGCTGAGATGGGAAACATGCAATTTATTCCTGGTGTTGTTCAGAATGATAATAAATCATGTGTCTCAACCCAGCGCCCTCCCTCTCAGACAGGAGGATATCAGCTCTTGTGCCGTGAGACATTGTTTCTAAGCTGCATTCTCTGGTGTGCACAGGGGTTTCATCTCACTTCAGAACAAGACATTTATCATAGAGCCAGCGCCGGACCACCACACGGACCACCACTTCATCTACAGAGGGGAAGAGCTCAGGCTGTCGGCAGGCTCCTGTGGTCACCTCTCCAATATGTCTGCCCCGTCGTCCCCGGAAACCATCACAAACACCGTCCAATCCTTCCGCACAAGGGTGAGATCTGTCTTCCAGCAGAGAGAACTTCCTTCAAACCTCACAATCATTCATCTCTTTGATCCATGTCCGTGTTTGTAATTGCTGGATTTAGTTTCGAGTGCACCCTCAAGAACATTATTACAAAAAATAAACGTCTTTTGATAAAAGATTAGCGACTTGGCAAGGATCCCGGCTTGGATATGGTCCTAAAGGTGTTGCCATTGGCTGGTTTTATGTATGTTCCGAGCCCAAATGGGAAGCCGGAAGCAGAAGGTTTGGCTGTAATTTGTATTGAACAGGTGCGGTATCCATCTGGCTCCCAGTACCTAACATTAACCAAACTCAATTTATGTCACGTAAGACGACTTATGGGCGTGCACTCTGTAATGGCCTTGCAGTTTTATGAGGCGAGACAAGGCTGGAGAGGGGGGGAGTACACTATAGGACTGGAGGAAGTTTTTAGTACGACTTCGGCATGTTCAGCTTTCAGACAGAATCATATTAGAGTAAGAGTGCGTGTGTTTTACTGGGCGCGGTTTGCAAATTTTAATAGACGTCAAAGAATCTCTCACGTCACCAGATGAGTCCAGATGCGGCAAAGCTTTTTATGCATTCAATGATTTTTTCACAATTCACTTATTGTTGCACATCCTGGTCATTGGCTCCAGACTCAGCAAAGCAACCTCTTCTGAGTTTATACAAACAATCTCTAAAGATTTTAGATAAAAAACCGAGGTCACATCATCATTGCAAAATTGTTGAGAAATATAAATTATTTACATTTGAGAGTGTTATCCAGTTTGGAAATATCTGTCTTATATATAAAATTTTCCAAAATTTGGCACCCCCACCACTAAATACATTTGTGAAAAGGTGTGAGGAGGTGAGAACCAGATCCACCAGAGCCACATCCAGGGGAGACTGTTATGTGAACTTTAGGTCCTCCTCATTTGGTCAGAACTGTTTCTCTGTCAAAGCAGCAGTGGCCTGGAACTCACTACCTCTGTCTGTGCGGGAGAGTAGCTCACTAGGACAGTTTAAACTCAGTCTAAAAAACTGGCTCAAAGAGAATCAAGTCTGTAGTCATTAGTCAGATGTAAATAATTGTGTGATGTATATTTTGTATGTATTGAATTGTGTCTGTGTGATTTAGACGTGTTGTATTTTATCTGTATTTTAATTAGGCCATTTATTCTTTCTATTTATCAATTCTTTGCACACTGTAAACCTGCTGTCACGTTGCCTCTGCCTCAGGGACTACGGATGAAAATTAGCTTGTAGCTATATCCGGTCTGAACAATACATTTATTGTGCAATGTCCCTGTCAAATAAACAAATAATAATAATAATAATTTTATGCTTCTTATTTATGCGTTTGTTTATTCATATGACAGGGAGAGTGTGCAATAATGAGGATAGGGCTGAACCATCCAAGTCCAATTTAACTGATCTGCGTTTGTGGATTGCAAGAGAAAAACTTTCTGACAGTAATGTTGGATAATCCTTTCTCTATGTACAAGGCAAGGTGAGTTTATGTGTGTAGCGCAGTTCATACAAATGGCAACTCAAAGTGCTTAAAAAACAATAAAATCATACAAGTCATAAAAATACAGAAATAAGCGCAGAAGAGTCAAGATATAATCCTTCAGTTGTGGCACAGCTAAAGTGTTTTGAACCTGGATTTGGTCACTGTCATAGTAGAAGCCTGTCTCACATATTCACAAACTTGGGGAAAAGGCTTTTGTATTTTCTGCTCCTTCTACATGGAACGTCTCGCAAAGGCTAGAAATTAACTGAATTTATTTCATTGAATGCTTTTAGGTCCAGACTGAGAGCACTTGAGACGTCCTCATTGACATGTAACTGTTTTAAAAATCTATAATTTTATGAAATTGTGTGTAACGGTTCTTATAATCATGGTTTGACATTGTGTTTACAAAGAGAAAGAAACAACATTGAATTGTGTACAATCCAAAAGGAAAGGGAGAAAGAAGAAAAGACAACAAATGTATAAAAAAATACTATCTTGTCAGATATAAGTTCATAGATGCCCAATTGTTCAAATATATGTCCTTCTTTAGACGCAAAATTGCAGTGATATAATTGTGTGTAATTTTTTGACTTAATTGTGGTCTTTCGTGGTTGAATAAAGGTAAAGCAAATCAAAAGAGGAAAATCTGAAATGCTGAAAAGTCTTCAATAGCCTTTTTTTATTTGTTTACTTTGATTTTGTTTCCCTTTCAGCACAAGCGGCACGCCCAGAAGTCCACCAAGTACGTGGAGCTGATCATCGTGGCCGACAACAGAGAGGTAACAGAAGTTGCACATCCACAAAGAGAGGTTTGTCAGAGTAAAGGAAGAGTCTGCATAAGCTGCAGGAACACAGCGTCTCCCAGGGGACGGCAGGGAATTAGGTCAGTGTGTGACCAGCAGTGTGGTCCAATGCCACAGACAGGAAGAGCTCGCAATGATTCTCCTAGCAGCTTCACATTCAGGAAACAGGAAACAGGCCAGAGAAGCAACGATGTAAGGGCTTTATGTCTGGGAGAGTTTGGGGAAAGTCTGCTGAGGTCATGGCGCTCTATGTCCGCGTGAACTACATTAATAATCAACAAATATTTATTGCTTGCAAAGAGGGCTGGAACGTTTAATTGAGTAAACAGAATAATTGCCTAGATTTGTTGGGTTAATTCTTGTAATGGGTTAAAAACTAGAGCCCACCAAGCGCACTGAGCTAATGCGCTGTATGTTGCTGTATTCATTTGTTTATTTTGGATGGGACAGTGTGTGTTCATGAACAGCAGGAGCTGTAAATACACCAGATTGTAGCTATGTAGCTAATTTGCATCTGTAGTCCCACAGTCACACTCACAAACACACACAACCCTCACCTAGTACCGGAGTACCTGGAGGAAACCTACGCAGACATGAGGAAAACATACAAACTCCACACAGAAAGGTCCTGGAGGTGGAATCGAACCCAGGACCCAGTGCTATCCACGGAGAGACCCAGTTGTATGTTACAGACATTGCTATTGTAATTTCATACAGAACATTATTTTTATAAAAATAAAAAATAAACTGGAAAACATCTAATTTAGTATTCATTTTAATTCATGTTTTGCAAATAGTAAAAACCTTAAGAAATTAGTCATTTAAACTAAGTTAATAATAGATAGCTGTAGCAGAAAACCCCCAAGACTGAGGCACACAGCCACGAGGGCAATGTGAACAGGTGGGCCTAACACATTCAGATTGACAGATAAATTAAGGACAAATAGCGACAGGTACCAGGCTAATTCTGCTGACTGACTTTTGTCGACTGTGATAAAAAGACATCATCATAAGTTTTGGACAACTGTGTGTGTGATTGAGCTGCAACAGAGAATCACCGTGAGTGACGTGACCTTTTGAATTTCCGGTGCGCATGGATGATCTCAAACCTCAGCTGCTAGAAACTCATCCAGACACAGTTTTTTTGCGCAGATTAGAAGTGGGCGTGGCTTGCGAGACTCATGCGGTAGATACTGTAGATAGATACATAGATACTTAATTGATCCCTGAAAGGAGAAATTCAGGTGTCCAGTAGCAGCACAAACCCAGCCATCCATACAAACAAAACAAATAAATACATAATTCTAAAAGTAGCTAACAATAGTAATAAAACGCAACAGCACTCACACCGATGTAAACTTGTAAACATGTGAACAAAACAGGCTCTTGACCAATCTGCGAGAAGACTTTAAAAACTGTTATAGATTCAGCCGGTGGGAAGTACCTGTGGTGAAAAAGGACTTCATTCAGCTTTACACCTGCCTAACACATTGAGAGCGGCACCTGTTAACCGCAGGAATACCTCTTTTTACCCTCTGTGGTGCTGCTGCTACCAAGTCCCCCCGCGACAGATGCCACATGTTCTGTCCTGCAGGGTCCCTTTGCCCAGAGCAGGTATCAAAAGCCAATAGTTAATCTGTATACATTAGGAAGAGAATGAATACAAGTAAATACATAAAAAGACAAGCAAAACGCCTAAAGATACAGTGGTTTATGCAAAAAAGTGAAAGGGAAATAAATGAATCGCTTTGAAAGGATTGAATGAAGCCTGGAAGTCTTTGTGATGAATCTCTGATGTGAAAAAGCAAGAATAATGCAGTCTCCACAAGACAAATGCACCTGGCTCACTATCTACTGCAGTCTGAGCGTTTGAATGATGGGCCACAGATATAAGTGAAAACACAGATGTTGCCAGATCCACGGTGCTCTTCCTATCTTTTATTATGGAGCAGATACATATAGAGACATTTTACCAGATGTGAACTCACCGCATTCTGCCTAAATGTCACTTTGATGTCTGAACAAGGTTGTACAGTATATAGTCAAATTCTGAAGCAACTTTACTAAACCTGCAAACATGGTTCAAATGCTTTTCTTTTGGAGTAGGCAAAAATATACTTTTTTTTAATCTGGGTTATTTAAAGCATGATTTATTGATGGTAATAATTAATATTTTTTCTATCATTATTTAAACTTGTGTCTTAAAGCTGGTGCCTTTAAATAGTATTAAAATCCATTCAGCTTCGTAGTTCCTCACTCTAGTTTAGTTCCATCAATAGTTTTGCCTCTGTCACAGCTTTAGATCAGCTTTTTCAGGCAGAAAAGTAAAAAAAAGAAAGGACCACCCTCACTGAGTCTAGTCAGAATAGTAAACTCACTGGGATCTTTGAATAATTTTTCAAAAGTTACAATGGTTGTTTCTGCCGAACAAATAACAAGAATGAGACAAAAGTTAGGTATCCCAGCTTTAAGTTTTTTACCTTACTCAAAGATTTTTGTTTCATTTAACCTTAAAATAATTTTAATTTTTGTGTAGTTTTTAATCATTACCCTAATTGATATTCTGCACTGTGACCTGATATTCAGTCTTTGACCTATGCACTTTTAACATTTTCAAAATCTTTTGTACTGTTTTTATTATATTTTAGCAACTTATTTATTATGTACCTGTGAGTGTGCGAATGAGAGCTTCTGGCACCACTGTCATTTCCTTCTGGGATCAATAAAGTTTATGTGATGTTATCTTTCTTTCGCTGTTTAGAATGCAAGTTACTTTTCTGTATATCAATTCTTCTGATAAATTGCGTTGGGGCCAAAGTGCTTTGTGTTTGGGTGAGCTCCCAGCAGGGTGCGAACAGAAGGTCAAACCCTTTTTTCTTCAGTTTAGATCCACGTTTGCCAGATATGCCAATAGAGTCACTCCCCGCGGCTCTGCAATTCCTCACTCTAACACCGGGAGATTTGTCCACATCCAGATGGTCTCAGCTTGACAGTCTCGCCCAAAGACACTTCTAAAATTCCCCCGCTGTAAACATTTCCATACAGCTACAATGAAGAAGCCATTTTGCGCTTGACTGATGTGTAATTGGGATAACCGTTTGCAATTTTTTTCTTCATTTTTTCAGTTTCAGAAGCAGGGGAAAGACGTGGAGAGAGTGAAGCAGCGGCTGGTGGAGATAGCGAATTATGTAGACAAGGTACAACATCCTCTTCCCATATCACAGCAGGGATAAATCACTTTTAAAATAGAAATATGGCTGCCAGGCAAGATGAATAGCCCCGGTGGTGTGATGGATTAATGTCCCACTAAAAACAGCTGCCTTTAGGCCCTTCACAAGCGGTCCCAGAGCTGTTTATGTGGGCGCGGAACCAGGTGCAAGAGGGGAACTGGGGTTTGGACGGGAGCATAGGTGATCGATGACAGAGAGGGAGGTGAAATATTATGCAACTATACATAGGATCATTAAGAGAAATAATTATACGTACATTTATATAGGTTCCACTCTAACCTTGATTGCCCCACAGTTGGAATTCAATTGAAGGAATCAAACAGTTACCAAACACGTACTGGTTATGCAATATGCAAATGTATAAAAAGCAATACAGGTTTTAATATTATTTTTATTTTCTCTAATTGAAAATAAATTGTGTCTTTAAAATACTAGTTGTTGTTTTTTTTTAACATACAACTTATTGGCTGTAAATATCTCTATCAAATATGGGGTACCTAACTTTGAACACTGCAAATATTTAAAACATGTCTCAAATTTGGCAAACATTTGTATTAATTTGAGCACATTTTCACTGCCTTAAAACAAGATTTGTCAATGGGACAAGCAAAATGTTTTAATTGTTTTAATCTCAAGAAACATTGGAATGAGAAAATAAAGCAACAGCTCTTAAAATAAGACTAAATGGTTTTGTTCAGAATGTTCTCAAATTCTCAAATTAAGATAAAACCACTCAATATATCGTACCTCACATTTGATCATTTTTACAGTGAACCCACAGACCTTTATTATGTTATAAAATCCATCTAACTGGATTGCTTGTTCCTGGCTCTAAGACACTTTGGTTCTATCCCTTATCAAATATTTAGATGAGCTTTCTCAGATGGAAAAGTAAAAAGGAGAAGACCACCCTCCCTCAGCCGATCTGCTCTTAGCCCAAAGTCTCATTTTGTGACTCACTGTGTTTTATCTTTCTTTAAGTATGCAAAAAGATGACATGGTTTATTATATAGTTAAGTCAGTATGTTGTGGGCGTATTTATCCACATTATCCCTGTTGAAACACAAATGTATTATTATAAAAGTTAGATACCTCAGCTTTAACATACGTCATTGATGATTGAGTCTTTTAATTAGAACATATAAACAGTACCGCACATGCCGTATGTATGTTAAAGGAAAGCAATAAAACAATAAAGAAAAATAAAACTAGATTTTTGTCCAATTCCTATTTCCTTTTTTTGTTAATTTTCCTCAAGGTTAGCAAACAGTATCATCCAAATATCACACCTGATTTGAGAGACATACCATGCACCCTATTTAAGGTTCCCTGTGATTGTTTGTGTCCTAGTTCTACCGGGCCCTGAACATCCGCGTGGCTCTGGTGGGTCTGGAGGTGTGGAGCGACGCTGACAAATGTCCCATCACCCAGGACCCCTTCACCACGCTGCACGAGTTCCTAGACTGGAGGAAAGTCAAGCTGCTGCCACAGAAACCTCACGACAACGCTCAGCTCATCAGGTGGGTGGTGGGAGACCGTGGGACATGGGCGCCTATATTGTCAAGCTCTGTGCAGAAAGGATATTTTTGCTTTCAAGCTGCAGCATTGCATCAATAACGGTATCCCTGTTTGTCCTCGTTTTACTCTTATTAGATTTCAAAATAGTAAACCAAATGTTATGCATTGTATTTGTAGCAATATGTAAGATGTTCATGTCAAGTCCTAGTCTGTCAAAAGGCCTTAATAAACCATGCTCTTTTCCAATACTTCTTTAACTTATTTGAATTTCTAAATTATTTTTACAGTCCATAAATATTGTTATAGATTTCATTTCGATGTCCCGCCCTTCACCGTTTTACCAATCAGAAAGTCTGTGACCTTTTTTTGGTCGCAGAACTAAAAAGTTCTTGTTATGATTCTCAAATGATTCACGACAAAACAAAAAAATAAACAAGGATTTATATTGGGGGCTTTGTGAAAAGAAAAGATATTTTGTGATTTGTTGTTGACAAAACCCTTGTCTATCAACCTGAGTCAGAGAGAGTGGGGGAGGTTGCAGTACCACTTTTGACCAGATTTTTAGATACTGTTCCTTTAAACTTAGCATTTATGACTTTTACAATAGAGTTTGTATTCATTCATAAACACTGTATTACATCAGTGAAATATATGTCAGCAGCAGCTAAAGCGGGTGTACCTGACTTACAAACCGCAACAAATGTAACTCTTACTCTAAAAAAATCTATCTATGCTCTCAAAACAGTTCTATCACTAGTTTGCACATGCATATATTTTTTGTCACATCTTTAGATCAGCTTTATACATACATAAGCTATATATTATTAATGCTTTATACATATGCAGGTTCATACATATATAAGTTATACATACGATATAAGAAACATAGCAGCTACTACCTAATTGTATATTATGAGTGCTCTTTCTACTGTCCTGTTTGTAGATAGATTGATAAAGTAGATGGATAGACAACTTTATTTGCAGACTCAAGGTCCCGATCGACACAGACACAGACAAGAAAAAAATTAAAATTAATGAAAAATAAACAACAGACAATAAAAACATGTAAACTTTCAAGAGGCAGTCACACCAATGTTTCCAAAGCAGCGATGTGTAAATTACTGCGCTGCATACAACACTGGACAATAGAATAATCACAGCATTTTATGTACACTGCATCTCTGAAATTTCCCCACTGTGGGATGAATAAATGTTCTCTTATCTTTTTCAGACAGAAAAGTGAAAAAGAGAGGACCACGTCAAACAATCAGCTCTCAGTCCAAAACGTAAAAAACTTTTACAGGGCTCAAAGGGTATTAGATGAAGTCAGTATGTTGTGGTCTTATTTAGTTTACTTTAACAATAGTATTTCTGTATCTATAATATCCATAGGTTAAGCACCCCAGCTTTACAAATACAATAAAAAATAATTGAGAACAAATATGTTTTTTCTTATTACAAATTAAAACCTCAAAGTAGAAAGGAGCATCCATTTTAAAAGCAACAAGGCCTATAAACATACGGCTCTAGTACACGGGGCACCTGAGAATACTGCTGTGAAATATCTGTATCAGGAAATGCATTTGCAGCACATAACTTTGGAAAGTGCAAGTGCTCAGTGTTTATACATTGTGTTGCAGAGGGCAAAAGGACAGGCCCCGGAGCTTTGTCCCTATTGCTACAGCCCCATACTGTCAGTCCTATTCACTTCCACTGCACTTACACTAACACTGGGAATAATACAGTGGATTTAGATTGAAACACTGTGGATAGGGACGTCTCTGTTTAGACTGCTGCCTCCGTGCCCCCGGAACGGATAAAGCAGAAGAAAATGAATGAATGGATGAATGGATTTATGTCAATAGTCAGTTTTATTTGAATAGCATTTTTACAACAACACCAGCTGCCCAAAGTGCTTCACAGGCACAAGAGATTAAAAGCAAACAGCATAAAATACATACAAATCCATGTAAAAAGTAAAACTCAGTTGGTGTTAAAAGCCAAACTACTCCACAGTTTGAACTAATCCATCTTAACTTTGAATTGAAATTATACTTGCTTCTTGAAAATGCTCATGTCATATGCTCATGTTAGAGATTTTATTTTATATTAGTATTATTAATTTAGTATTATTTTAGCTGTTACAGTATGTACAGATGTAAACATACGACTGCTAACACGTACAAATGTAAACATACAACTGCTAACATGTACAAATGTAAACATACTACTGCTAACACGTACAGATGTAAACATACGACTGCTAAAATGTACAAATGTAAACATACAACTGCTAACATGTACAAATGTAAACATACTACTGCTAACACGTACAGGTGTAAACATACGACTGCTAAAATGTACAAATGTAAACATACAACTGCTAACATGTACAAATGTAAACATACTACTGCTAACATGTACAGATGTAAACATACGACTGCTAACACGTACAGATGTAAACACACTACTGCTAACACGTACAGATCATAGACTGTATATATTAACGGACATAGTCACGCCTATCTCCGCCGTTCTAACTAATGGGCCAAAAATTGGGCTTTCATGGAGTGATTCAAAATGGCCGCGGGGGCTGGAAAATGTGAAAAAACGCATCTGCGCATGCGTCAGTCGGCACAAGCTCCATACAATACAATACAATACAATTTATTCTTGTATAGCCATTCATTTGATTATTATTATGTTCAAGATCGAGATTTTATTATGGTTCTTTTGAGATTTTATTTTATTTGAAATAGTATAGCTATTGTTATCTTTTACTGTGTGCTGCTCTTTCCTACTGTTTTTTAACCGGTGATGCAACACTGAAAATTCCCCACTGTGTGACAAACAATGTATCTCTTCATCTAAATCTCTGAAACTGAAATATTACCTCAATTATTTTTTGTTTTATCTGAACTCAATTCTACTTAAGAAATAGTTTTAAAAGTGTTCATTTGAGGAGACTGCATGATTAATGGAACTGTTATTGAAAACCCTGGTGTCAAATTTCACAGCTTTTGGATCTGTCATATTCCGAGACTTAGGGGAGATGGGGGTAATCGCAATTTCACAGTATTTAAACACGCTTACTGTGGATTTCAAACATTTTCTTTCTTCAGTATCCCAAATGGGCAGCAGTGGCTCAGTATATGTAGAGTATTGTGATTTCTGATGTGTGTGTGTGTGAATGGGTGATTTTTTTCTTTGATGTGAAGCTGTTTGATAAAAGAGCTGTATACTGTATATGTGAGATTTTTTCTGAATAAAAAGTTGTTGTTCATGACCTTTTCCCTTTGTGCAGCGGGGTCTATTTTCAGGGCACCACCATCGGCATGGCCCCCATCATGAGCATGTGCACCGTGGAGCAGTCTGGAGGCATCGTGATGGTGAGTTTACGGCCAAAAACCAGCCAAAAATTGCTCAATATTGGCAAAAATGTATCTTAATTTGAGCACATTTTTACTGAGATTTGCCAATGAGACGAAGTAATGTTATCTTGTTTCAAAAAGATCCAAGAAATGTCTCCTTGGAATGAGAAAATAAAGCAGCAATTTTTGAATGAAGACTAAATGGTTTTGTCCCATTGGTAAATATTGACACAGTGAAAATGTACTGCACATTAAGATTTAAAAAACACTTGATTCTAGCAATATTACTTCCTATTTTATCTTGTTTTTTCCAGTTTCCCACTTGGTTCACTCTGTTATTCTATCAATGAAACATGCTCTTGTACCTCTTCTGGCAGCATCAGGTGTTCGCTGTGCGGTGGAAGCGATTGGTCAACAACACATGAAATCCATACATATATAGGATCAGGATTTTAGCATCGACCAGACACAAGCTAAAAAAAAATTAAAACTAAACCGTTTATAGCCCCACTGTGGAACATTACAAGCGAAGCAGTATTACCATGGTTACAATCCAGATAGATTCTTGCTCCTGACGATTGATTCATGTTGTCTCGTGTTTTTGTCATGTTATTGTATTTTAATGGCTTTTTTAACATCACGGCCAGATGAATAATAGCGTCCTTGGCTTATTCAGGCTTTTTTTATCATGTGTTTTATTAAATTGCATTGTCCGCTTTTAAATAAACTAAACTGAAACTGAATATAGTAACGGGTAATGACGAGCCATGCAAACTTTTTTATGATATACTGCCACATAAAAAGGAAGAGGTTAGCTATAGGTGTTATTACATGCGCTCAACTCCACGTCAGAAAAATACATGGAAAAAGACAATATCTACTCTATTTCAGATGCCCTTGGAAAGTCATTCAATTTCACGCAGCCGCTCTCATTTCCTTTACATAAGAGAGGTCATTCCAAGGATACAAGCTTTTTTTTTACAATTGCGATTTCTTTTTGAATTACATTACGAGCTTGCATGACCCTGACATGTCGAACGATCGCGTGAGGAAGTAAACTTATCCCCGCCACCGTCACCAAAGCAGACACGACCCTTTATAAGCCTCCACAACTGGACTCTATAGGGATGTGCATTTCCCATTAGTGGATGTTGTAGATATTTTGTTTTGCTGGGTCTGGCAGTTTCAAAGCATCTCCAGATGTTTCTTTTCCCCATTACTTACAGATGGCAGATGGTTTGGGCAGAGATTAGAAGAGCGGTGCAAACCAGTTAGGAGGAGGGCAGCCATTTTTCATTTCGCTCTCTCACCAGACACCAAGACCTTTTATTTGCTCCAAATGCACTTTTCATTTTCACAGCTTGCACCAGTGTAATGTGTTTTTGGTCATAGCCAAAAGTCATGTGGGTGCTATTCTGCCAATTGTAAAGCTGACAATATCTTAGTTTTATCTCAAAAATGAGGTTTTCTCCCCACAAAAATTGATATCCGGGAGGAACCATCAAAGCATAGCCGGGTTACAAGCCCCGCAATCCCCAAAGTTACAGGTCGTGGTTTTAACAAAGCAATGTTGATGGCTTTGGTAAGGATTGATTTTGTTGCACAGACTCTGATATTAGTTATTTTGTTCGGGAGCGTTGGTCTGTGAATCTGGGAAGCAGGACCATGAGGAGGAAGTCGGCCCTATCCCGCCTGAATACAAATGTGATGTGATCTGGGAAAACCCCATCACATGGTAAAATTTGACAAACTTCACATTCTGATACCATCCTAAAGCTGCTTTCAATCTCTTTTCAAATCTGTTTTCCTTTTTTTCATAGCATGTCTATAACAAATGTTATCATTATCTGAAGTCATCTTGTTAACATGGTTTTATGAAACAGAATTCTGAGAAAAACATGTTTAAAGATAGACATTCTAAATAGAATAACCACAATCAAATATACAGTAACATGTTGCATTTGATTTACTCTGTTTTGGCACACACTTATTTTAGTCACTGTGTTGTAAAAGATAAAACAAAATGTCACTTTGGCACCAAGCAAACACACAACACTCATTAATTAGATGAAAATCAAGAATGTATTTATTCATTCAACATTCAATGAATTGAATTTGTTTTACGTAACTTTTCCTCTTCTTTTTTGTGTGTCTTTCTCTTTATAAGGTACTGCACATTACACATGTATTAGACAATTCCAGTATTATCATTTTGCAGTATGTTATCAAATCACGCAGTCTAAATATCCACGCACCACCAACATGCATTTTTAATGCAAAAGGAAATTAAGTACCCGAGCTTTAATTTTGGGTGCGCAAAGGTAGAAGACACGGGGGAGACCTGGACTTGCAACAAGCTGGGGCTTGTCCTGAACGCGTGTCCATGGTTCTGTCCGCGTGTCTATGGTTCGTGTGTCTATGGTCCTGTCCGCGGGTCTATGGTCCTGTCCGTGTGTGTCTATGGTTCTGTCCGCGTGTGTCTATGGTCCTGTCTATGGTTCTGTCCGCGTGTGTCTATGGTTCTGTCCGTGTGTGTCTATGGTTCTGTCCGCGTGTGTCTATGGTTCTGTCCACGTGGGTCTATGGTTCTGTCCGCGTGTGTCTATGGTTCTGTCCGCGTGTGTCTATGGTTCTGTCCGCATGTGTCTATGGTTCTGTCCGCGTGTGTCTATGGTTCTGTCCACGTGTGTCTATGGTTCTGTCCGCATGTGTCTATGGTTCTGTCCACGTGGGTCTATGGTTCTGTCCACGTGGGTCTATGGTTCTGTCCGTGTGTGTCTATGGTTCTGTCCGCATGTGTCTATGGTTCTGTCCACGTGGGTCTATGGTTCTGTCCGTGTGTGTCTATGGTTCTGTCCGCATGTGTCTATGGTTCTGTCCACGTGGGTTTATGGTTCTGTCCGCGTGTGTCTATGGTTCTGTCCACGTGGGTCTATGGTTCTGTCTGCGTGTCTATGGTCCGCGCTCGGAGCCACGTTACGGCAGTGCGTTCGCTGAGCTGTTGCCAAAGCGGCTGCAGCTGCTCCCGGGGCCAGAGCGGAGGATGTAACGTTAACATTCCGTTTATCAAAACATATCACAATTTTTAATTTATAAAACTAGTGAATTTCACCTAGATACTTTCAGAAATTAAAGACAAGATGTTATATCATAATTATTTAATGAAAACACAATTTTGCCACATAAATGACAATCAACCTTTTTTTACTATTTACTCGAAACGTGCCAGCGCGACATTCAACAGGTTTTCCCAGATCGCATCACAAATATTGTGGGGATCCTGCCTTGTTATCCGACACTCAACTTTGACCTGTCCCTTCGCAGTGTTGACAGAAAGTTTGGGATTCTTCCTGCAGCGTAGGAAGAGCATTTGTGGGCAGTTTCTTCTATGACATAGTGAATGTATTTTTTGTCTGTAAGATATACTGTAAGTTATGACCTCGAACGCATTGAACAGATAACTGAGTCAATATGCAACATAATATGTGTTTTATTCATTGTACATAATATATCTTGCACAAAAGAGACGTTTTTCTTTCTTTTCTTTTCAAAACTTTATTTATAGACATTTTCAGTTATGAACACAGAACTTATCAATAGATAATTGTCAGAATACGAAAACAATTAAATGACAAAAAATAAAACAAAAACAAAAATTACATACTTGACATATGGGGTATACAAAGTCAGAGCAATTATTGTTCACTTTAACATCTTTATAGAGTAAGTCCGTGGGTTGGGGGGGGCAAGAAAATAGACTGTATTTTAACCTTTTTAACATGTTTGCACACGTCTTTTGGCACACCCTGAGTGATTCTGTCTATGCCAAAAGTGACATGTACAATTCTCCATTGTGAGATCAATAAAGTTTATCTTATCTTAAAAGCTTTAAACACCTTTAAAAACATACATATTTTTGTTTCATCACCAGAAAGTTCTATAAAGTATAATGGTAATCCACAACGACATCCTATCTCCATCTTATTAGAAAATATCTTATTTCTCTCATTGTAAAGCCCTTTGTGTGGCCTTGGCCTGTGAAAGGCGCTATTTAACTAAGGATAACTTACTGTTGCACATAAGACAGAGCCCAGAGAGTCACTATCTGATGCTGTGAGAGCTGAGAGGCTGATAATCCTCTCCTTTTCACTTGTCTGTCGGTAAAAGCTGAAGCGGAAACAAAAATACCGTACATGCATGAGAAATCCAACTTTTGAGAACCAGGAGCGAGTTTTATAGATTTCATTGCAAAGTTAAAGGTATATAAGAAGATTTTCCGGAATTTTAGGTAAGAACCGTCCTCTCCAGAAGGAATGCCTACTAAAACACGAGCCCTTCTCCTCGTGCACGCTCTGTTTACAAGTCACTGTCAGCATCCAAAAAGTGTTTCACTTTTTCCCACTATGTCAGACAATATAGAGACATCAATACCTTTTACTGTAAGTGATTTGAAATGGCTTTCTCCAAATAGAATGCCATCAGAACGATTGACAATTAGGAGGACCAATAGTTTTTTATGATCCACTCGGAAAAAGAAAATCCTCTCATATACCCTTAAGATTGTTGTGGATTGAAAGTTAGGTACCACAGCTATAACCCTTATGCTGTCTTTGTATCAAAATGACCCAACACAGTGATTTAAAGTTGAAGAAAAATACCTTAAATTAGGATATAAAAGGGCTTGATACAGGGTTGGTCAAGGTAGGAGAAAATCATTAAAAAAAAAATTCACTTTGGTGTGTCAATTTGACACAAGGATAGCACAATGTTTTAATATGTGTCCACCCATAAGGAAAGACATGTGTGTAAAAAAATTCTACCGTATGCTACAAACGACAAAATGCAAGATGAAATCTACTCTGAAGGGAGCAAACTAAATAGAAACAATACCAGAACAGCTGTATAGATTATTGGGGTAACTGTACCGTCCGTTTGACAGGACCACTCGGACAACCCCCTCGGTGCTGCCGTCACGCTGGCCCACGAGCTGGGACACAACTTCGGGATGAACCACGACACTCCGGAGCGCGGCTGTGGCTGTCGTATGACCGTGGACCGAGGAGGCTGCATCATGACCCCCTCCACAGGGTGAGATTAACAAAAGTTTTTTTCCATTCACTGCCATAATATCCAAAAAGGGAATTAGCTCTCGGAGAAATAGAGGAAGTGTGCGTCCCCCTCCGACCTGGCAACGGATAAAGCGGAAGATGGATGGATGGGAATGGAGGCATTGAGTTTAGATTATTTATTTAATGACTATTTTAAAACCAGTTAGAATGACCCACTCTGATGTATTTGCTTGATAATCTGTGTAATGCATTCTATGTCTTGGATTCTGACCCACAAGCTGTACGGGGCGACAGTGGCTCAGTTGGTAGAGCATTGGCCTTTGGGCCTGAAGGTCGTGGGTTCAAGCCCACCGTAAGACCTACTTCACGACCCCCACTCCTTGGGCAAGACACTTAACCCCACTTTGCCTGAAGCCCCCGCTGAAAGATCTCAGCTCTTGTGGACTCACCACCTGCAGGAGGATCAGTGAGGGGCTGGTGCTATGTGTACTGGGTGCAGCTCTGACTGCCACCCCCCAACCCAGAAATGGATTAAGGGGAAGAAAATGGATGGATGGATGGATGATTTTTTTTTAATGCAAGATTGTCCCACTACATCACTGTTGGTAGGGCTGGGCGATATAAACGGTATAAGCGGTATGCGATATAAATTTGGCCCACGGTAGAGATTTTTGTTATACACCTGTAACGCCGAGATACACTGTCTTGAAGAGATGCACTGCCTCAGCTGTTTATGATGTAATGCAAACCTGCGCATGCGCGTCTCACGGCAACCGAAGCATACCAAGATGGCAGACCGTGAATTGCTTTAAAAGTTGAAATACGAACGAATTAAGACACGAATGTCACTTTTAATGCAATTTGAGGCGAGATGTTGATGGTTCCGTTTTGTCACATGTGGGTTTTAAGAGTCAAAGTTTTGTGCAAAGTTTAGTTTAAGCAGTCAACTGCGCCTGTGAAACCACAAAGCTAATGTTTTCATAGCAGTCCGCGGCTGCTGACGTAGGCTGATGACGCGTCCTGTGGCCACTCTACACTGGTCTGTCGGGTTGATAATGGAAAATGGGGAAAAAACTCAATCTAATTAAATATTTTGTTTGAACACACTATTGTTAATCATATTAAATACAGTACGATACATGCATTGAATGAAATTTATTATTTCCATTATCAACCCGACAGACCAGTGTAAGAGTTTAGAGTGGCCACAGGACGCGTCATCAGCCTACGTCAGCAGCCGCGGACTGCTATGAAAACATTAGCTTTGTGGTTTCACAGGCGCAGTTAACTTTGCACAAAACTTTGACTCTTAAAACCCACATGTGACAAAACGGAACCATCAACATCTCGCCTCAAATTGCATTAAAAGTGACATTCGTGTCTTAATTCGTTCGTATTTCAACTTTTAAAGCAATTCACGGTCCGCCATCTTGGTATGCTTCGGTTGCCGTGAGACGCGCATGCGCAGGTTTGCATTACATCATAAACAGCTGAGGCAGTGCATCTCTTCAAGACAGTGTATCTCAGCGTTACACCGGCATATTGCGATAGGTCATTATGTCATCAAATTGCGCAGGCTCTGACGCCAGCAGAAAGGACCAAAACAAACCGGCATTCAGCAGCATTAGCCTAGCACTATTAGCCTAGCAGACACCACTGGAAACAACGAACAACAGCACGGCATTAACACCGTGTTTCTGTCTATGTATTGTTGTCACAGCGGCCCCAGCAGAGGTAAATACACACACAGTTTAAGCGTCTACCTTTTGGCCAATCAGTGTCAAAGGGGCGTAGGCTCGAAGCGCCAGCGTGAGCCAAAATAGATCCATGCGTGTGCCGTGTCCACAGCATCACAGCAGAAGTTTGTGAAAGTTAGCGTCAGATTCGGACCTCCGCGGTCAATATCTAACGAAAGCTACTTTGTTAAACAAAATTTATTGTGCCAAAATGATCATTTACATCAATTGTTCAAATCCAATGCGCTGTTTTAATGAACATAAATCCATTGAATCATCCAGTTCACTGCAAGCGCAGAGAAAAGCGCTTAGGGAGCGTCAACAAATGGCAAGACCAGCTTTGTAAACGAACAATAGCTTTTACTGAAGTCATGTACAGTACCTGCACAAAACTCTCAGACACTATAAATAATGACCATGTCTAACTCCTACAGACTTTGATTTCAACATTTGTGAGTTTTTTATATTCTAAATGAATGCACATGTTTTTCTTTTTAAAAATTGCTTTTACAGTTAACGGTATTTACTGTAACATACATAACTAATGTATGTTACAACATTTGTCTCTTTATTCGTCTCACTGAATAACTAAAAAAAAATATACATTAGATTCTAATATATAAATAAGTAACAATCTTGACTATTTTATGCAAGAACCTGCTAGACCTATATTGAAATTCACACCAAATTATACCGCAATATATACCGTCTACCGTCTGTGTCCCAAATTATACCGCAATATGAATTTTAGGCCATATCGCCCACCCCTAACTGTTGGTAATTAGTATAATCCTACTTTGATTCAGGGCCAATGTAATCTCATTTCATTTCCAAGATACTGCTGAGTTGAAACTAATTTCTTACGTTTGTGGGGAATCTTTTTTTTTATCTTCTGAATTTTTTATTGTAGATCACAGTTTAGAGGTATAATATATAGGTTTTTTTTTCTCCTTTGGTTCATAAACATTTATTTTGGAGATTTCTCCTTGTGGACTTGTGCTGAAAACTCTTTATCCACTGCTCAACTGAGACAAGTGAAAAACAGAAAAACCTAGAAAATGTCTTCACAATTCTACAACTCCATACTTGTTTAGTATTATACAGTTTCAATTAAATTCTAGCTATTCTACCCAGCATCACATACTTCAGATACAGTGAGGTTGCTTGCACATATTTGTGACATTTTAGTAAAGAGATTGATTGTTGGTTTTGCTGCACTAAAGTGGTTTCCTATTGTATATACCGGTTTCAAAAGTTATTTCCACCTTGTACAGTATATGCCTCCCAATATTCTTAAAGCATCCTCATATTTTGAGTGATGTGCAGGTATATTCTTGTGTTGACTTTCTAGATAATCAAAGATGGCGCTTCCATAGACTGTTTCCTTAAGCGACCTTTTAGCCAAACCATGGTAGATGAAGTGCCAGCCTCACTTTCAGGCCGTGACAGTGGCAGCAAACCCACCTCCTCGTTCAGCATTTATATACAGCATGAGCGCTTTGCCCCGTAGATTCATGCGCTCATACATAATTCAGGATATACAGTGGAATTTTTAATGCAGAAGTGGTTACTGTAATCCCCCAGGACACAGTGACAATACTGTAAATGCTTCTTATGACCTTTACCAAACACCAAGGGACTAGTTATCAATATCTCTACCCTTTTCATAGGTTAATGGACTATTGACTTGGTTTAAAGAGACCAGAATTCATGAACAAGACGTATCGATTCCTGTTACGGCCGGCTCAGGGCCACAACAAATAGGGAGACGAGACTGGGGTAAAAAGTGCACAAAGTATATTTAATAATAACAAAAAGCGGATAACATGAACAAAAACCACAGTATGGGATGTGAGCATGTGTTAATCAGTAGGGTGGTGCAGGTGTGTGGGTGTAATGGTAGCCTGTGTGTGGTGTGCCGTGAATGTGGTGCGTAAAACAAAAGACAAACTCAAATGTGCAACAAAAGAAGAGCACCAGGGAAGGACCAAACAAGACAGCAGGGCCGGAGAGAGTGAGCAGCTCTCAGCTCCCAGCTGAAGAAGGTCCATTGATGAGGAGGCGTGGCATGGTGCAGGGGTGTACCTGCACAGAGGAGGAGGCGGCAGAGAAGGCAGGCCAACACAGACAGCCCCCTCTCTTGGACACTAAGGGCCTGGCCCGTAACAATTCCCACGTAATTATTCCAGTTCATTGCATATACGTTAAATCAAATTTCCGGGCTTTTGAATGTGTCTGTGAAATATATGCATGAATAATTTGTTTTTTGTTGTTTTTATGGGAAGGTTGGTGGATAAAAGCTTTTTCAGTTGAGGAGAAATGAGGAAGGAGGATGTTTGAAATGGACTGCAGAGAAATGTAAAAGCCTGTTCTATTATACTTAGTAGGGTGTTTTGTTGGGGGTTGTTGACGTGACTAAAGATCCACTTTTTTGGGCTTGAATAAATTCACAGATCGAATCACAATAATCTATGAGCATAAAAAGTGTGTTTTTAACTTTCATCACTAAAGTTGTATGGTCACAGGTGGCAAACGTTTACATCTAACTTTGTGTGCTTAGGCAATAGATCAACATGTACAAATCATATCTGACCTTTTTTGAATAAAAGTTTAAACTGGGAGTTATTCTTCATCAGGCAGGGCAAGGCAAGTTTATTCGTATAGCACAATTCATACACAAGGCAACTCAAAGTGCTGAACAAAATAAGAAAGCGTTAATCATAAAAAAAATCACAGTACATTAAAAAGAAAGATAAAAATATAAAATCCCTCAGTTGTATTCACAGCTAAACAGAACAGTTTTTAACCTTGTTTTAAACATTGTCAGAGAGGAGGCCTGTCTCACACTTTCATGAAAATTGTTTAAAAAAAGACAATTTACATTTTATATTATTTATATCTAATTATATATATATTTATATACACTGTATAACCATGTGTCACAGGCAGGAAGATTATGCCAACAAATGTGTGATTGTAATGAAATGACTTTATTATTACAATATATATAAATGTAAAATATATTTTTTTAGAGTGAGAATGTACAACTGTTGATGTTGTATCAAACTGGCAGAAAATATGGCTATAAACATAACATGTAGAATTCTATCTAAACTTAGAAGCACAGCTAACTCCAATTAATTCATTCGCAGAGAAGCAGGGAACTACGTCATGACGCCATTTGCAAAATAACTGGAGAAAATACAGAGAAAGTACATATAAAAAGGAACAGATATTTTCATTTGAAAGTAAAGAGGAGAAAAGGTAAACGTTGTGATAAAAA